TGCATAACATGGAGGCCTATGGGGCTGAATTGGTTTTTTAAACATTTGTAGAAAGTTTAAAGAAGGCGCAACAGTAGACTTGTGATAGAAGAGTCTGTATCTGTATTTCCCATCCAGTTGAAGTCTTACCATTACCCTAGAAGATGCTGAAGAGAAGTGGTAGATAATCTTTGGGCCTTAATAATAATAAGGCCATAAACATGGGCCACCATGGCTGACTGGCTTAAATGAGTTTTTTACTTGAAACACGAAAGGACACATCTCTGGATGAAACAAGTCTTTACCCATTCTCTTCCTGAACACAGAGGCACAAACTAGACCAGGGCTTCCTAAAAGGCAACTCCTGGGCTTTGCTCAAATTTAGATTCTCAGTGAGCAACACATGGTAGACAATCAGTGAAGATTAGCGAAGTATTAGATATTTATAAAGATCAACAAACACAGCAAACTCTCTGGAAAGAGATTTATAAGCTCAGGCTCTGAAATGATATAAGTCAGAATTTGCCTCCATCAGCTGAGTAGTTTCAACTTACTTGTGCCTCAATGTCTGTAGCTATAGAAAAAAAAAAAATCTCCTCTACTGAAGTATCGTATTAGATGCATTTTTTATCTTAAGCGTTATTTCTGGCACACCCACATACTCAAGAAATTGTAGTCAATCTTCTCTTCTCCTTCTTAACACTGATTTTGTGTTTAGGCAAAAATTTAGAAATTCCATCCTTTGATAACGTGTCATTTCTATATATTAAAACTTAGTGAACTTAAAAATAAGCTCTGTGTAGGGATAGAAGAACTGGAATGAGCTTAGTGAAAATGATCAAATGTTACCACTTTAAGTCATTACCAGAGAAATCTGCCCAAATTAGTAATGAGGACTAATTATAAAACATTCCAAAGTTTTTTTCAATTATATAGAGAAAATCATCAAAAATAGCTAAGCAAAGCATTACCTAGTAGGATGTTTGGGGGGAATTTCTTTAAAGAAAAAGGCAAAACATATCTTCTATAATACATGTCTATAGCACACAAATAAAAGGAGCCTTCCAGATCTCTCGAAAAGAGTATGTCCTCTCAGGGTATTTCAAGCACTCTTAGACAGTTTTGTGAATCACATGAAGTAAGTCAGACAGAGAAAGACAAATATCATATGGTATCGCTCACATGTGGAGTCTAATTTTTAAAAAATGATACACATGTTGTTATTTACAAAACAGAAAGACTCATAGATTTTGAAAACAAACTTATGGTTACTAAAGGGGAAACGGCAATGGGAAGGGAAATTACGAGATTGGGATTGACATATACACATCACTATATATAAAATAGATAACCAATAAGGACCTACTGTATCACACAGTGAACTCTACTCAATATTCCGTAATAACCAATATGGGAAAATAATCTGAAGAAGAATGGATATATGTATATGTATAACTGATTCACTTTTGCTGCCCACCTGAAACTAACACAACATTGTAAATCAACTATACTTCAATAAATTTTTTTTAAAAATGCATTTTCCAAGATTAGGAGAAAAACATGTTTTGAAGGTGGCAGGCTTCCCATGAACAGACCATAAGTGCATAATTCTCTGCTCGGTGCTATAGCCCTGATTCCATGTCTATGATGTATTTCTAAAAGGATAAAGAAAAGAAACACTTAGAATTACATTCAAATGCAAAGGACACATCTCCCCATGCTGCATCCTGGTTGCTTCTGAGCAAAATTGATATTCAAACTTGGTTTCCTGAAAAACACAGCCCGATCTTAACAGTATTTTCCTAATATCTGGCTCTAAGAAGTAATTGGAGAAGTCTTTTAAAGTTATATTGACAGGGTGGGGGTGAGTGGAGGATGCAGTGGGTGGGGTGGTGATTGTGGTCTGCCCTGTGCGTAGCTAAGAAGGGGGTCCTTAAAGAGAATTAGAGAACAATGATTAAATGGACTATACAAGGGGGGCCCGCTGGGGCTTCCCCGGTGGCGCAGTGGTTGGGAGTCCGCCTGCCGATGCAGGGGACACGGGTTCGTGCCCCGGTCCGGGAAGATCCCACATGCCGCGGAGCGGCTGGGCCCGTGAGCCATGGCCGCTGAGCCTGTGCTGCGCAACGGGAGAGGCCACAACATTGAGAGGCCTGCGTACCGCAAGAAAACAGAAACAAACAAACAAACAAAAAAACCAAAGGGGGTCTGCTTTCCACCAGCACCATGATCTGGTAACTCTAAATAATGTCAGTGATAAGGACTCTTCCCTAAATAATATTTCATTGGTCTATATTCTAAACAATGGAGGTGGTTACTGTTGAGATTTAGTATATACTAAATTAGCACATCATCTGCTCCATGGAAATTAGTTTGTAGAACTCTCCATTATACGGTCATCCCCAGAAACACACAAATTCGGTTACAAGCTTTAGTTTCACTAATCATTTCATAGCGGTTCGAAATCCTTTGAGTTCACAAAGGCTGCAATTCATGCCCTTGTGTTAATACCTATGTTTCATGAAAACAGCAGATTATAAATGAACAATGATAGTGCTGAGATTGTAAAGATAAAGACACAGAATTTGAGTCAATTTAGTTCTGTCATTCTAGGTGATCACTTGAAGGTTTTAAGAGTAAAAGTGTAGGAGCTGGGCGGGGGACCGGCTTTGGTGGGTAAGGTCCAGTTTGCCCACGTTGGTAGCTGGCTGTGCTGGCCACCTTCCCTGCCCTATCTCCTTTCCCAACTCCACTAACCTTGTCCCTGTATCTCTCTAACAACTATTTGCCCTGACATCCTTGTCTCAGAGTCTGCTTCTCATGGAACCCAAACTAGAACCCAATAATCCTATGATGAGACTTACAAGGACCATTCCTACTCCTGACAGGAGAGGGACATATGCGGACCCTTGCCCTCTACAATCACCCTGCAGGTTTACCAACATCACACCCCGAGGGGAAGATCTCTGACGCAGGAAGGGAAATACAGGAACCGAGAACCCCAAGCAGCACCTTGGAGGGAAGGGGAGTGGTTGAAGTCCCCCGACTGGGCTGAAGGCTTGGAGGGGACACCCTTAGAAAGGGATTCAAGTAAGGGTGACAACCGAAAGTATGTCTTAAACTCCCAGGTGAGATGGTTACACTAGTTCTCAGGTCTGCCTGCAAAACACTTGCCAGGTTTTGTTTTTGTTTTTTTTTTCTTTTCCCAAACACTATAGCTTCCCAAGCCCTGGATATATAATAAATCAGAATCCCAGGATGTAGGAGATATATATATATATATATATATGTGTGTGTGTGTGTGTGTGTGTATGTATTTAAACAAATATAAATGTATTTATATATAAACGTATGGATATATTTGACATTCATATAATATATATATATATATATATATATATACATAAAGCTCCAACGGCAATTCTTACACACAAACCAGAGATGACCATAGAACTGTAATATGGAAAACGTTGACCTGATGTGACGTAAACAAATAAGTCATCCCTTCTTTGCCTCCTAATCAGATGTTTCTGATCAGAATTCAGAAAGGACATCCAAGTTCTTCGTAAATTAACTCCAACCTCAAAGGCTATGGTTTATCTGTCAAAATAGACCCTCCCTCAGAGTGAATGTGTTTCTCTGTCGCTATGGGGGGATGATCAAGAGTTCTGGAAAAGTAAATGGATTTCCAATGATGCCCACCCTCTCCCAGTGATCTCACATTCAGGAAGAACGTATTCGCAGGAGGAAACAGAGGGCAAATCTGAATGGTACAGATTCTGACTTGGGGCCAGATGCTATTCTGTGTCTCCCAGCCCCTGAACTCATGAACTCTCCCTGACTATAACTCATGCTGCCTGCAGGACGAGGATGTGGGCGGAAGGAATTGTCCTCCTTCTGCAATTACCCCCTTAGAGCCTTGAAGTCAGTACTTGAATATTACGTGTGCAGTACAATGATTGGTCGATGACGCCATCAACACACAGCTGCACTATTAACTCAGGGTATGATTCACAAATGATTCTTTTTCGATTGTAATTACTGACAGAGTCCTCGCAATGAACCCAGTCTTTTAGAGAAAAACTGATCTTGGGACAAAGGGCTGGCTAAAACCTCAGGCAGGACATAAGTAAATAAATAAACAAATAAAACAATAAAATCTTTATCTATTTAAATCGATATAGATATACTCTATATATGTATCTAGTTAGATAGGTTTATATATATATATATAAAACATCTTTAAATATAGATATAGATATAAACATATATGTATAGAAAGAGCAGGGAGATGGAATCAAAATATATCAGGAGAGAATTCCATCCCGGCTTACCAGTATTTTCTGTTATGCTATATGAAAGTTTAGTGTTAGTTAGAGAGACCTGGGTTTGAATAATGGCTCTGTCACCTAGCTGGTCATGTGTCTTCTCTGAGTCTCAGTCAAAACAAAGGAATAGTATCTTTACGTTGTCAGAAAAAAATAAATAAAATATTATATGTAGACATCATGGCTGTCTCTAAGAAGTATTTTCTTAAGTTTAATTTTCCAGCTCATATAGATTTAGCCCAAACAACATTATTTGCCATAAAAACCGTAATAGGGAGGTTTTTAACCAAAAGCGAATGGAGTTATGCAACCAACTTTTGCAACTATATTATTGGTGCAACTTCAGAAAATTTCAGTTACAAGCAAATGTGTAGAAGTAACATAGCAATCTAGAAATCATATAAATGCAAAGTTGACGCTTCAGAATTATATTTTACTGTCTCTCTTAATGTTTATAAAACACATACACACAAACACATATACAGCATGGCAAGGGAGCCCTGGAAACCCTTCCTTGCCCCCCTGTAAGTGACACTTTGCTTGTCATTTTTACTTCTTAATGGTTAATGAATTCCATGTAATAGTTGCCAGTTTTCTGCCTCCCCCTCTGTCCCCTGCTGCAAAAGATCTAATCTATTCAGAGGAAGATAATTGCAGAGCTGTTGAGACAGAAAATAAATCGCTGCATCTCACCACTGTTGTGCGCCTCCAGCTGTGAGGTGGAGTTGACAGCAACCTTGCATAGAGAACAGTAAAGCAGCCGTTTTGCCTTTTCTTCCTCAGTCTCCGTGGAAGGACAGGAGCTATTGCCGGTGGCTGTCGTGGGGCTTTTCTCCACTTTAGAAGTGATCTCAGTTGTCATAACGCTGCTTTTGCGAATTTCCACAGTTGTTGTCGTTGATATTGCTGGTGTCCCTGTGGTACTGTCTGCAGTCAAAGTAGCACAGAAGAAAAGGCAAAAACAGTGGTATTACCTTTCCCTATTCGAAAGTGTATCACTAATATTACATTCTGCTAATAATGATAAGAACAGCTAGCAATTGCTGCTTGTCAACTACGTGTCAATCATCTCCTGAGGAAATGTACATAGATGACCACTTATAGTTTTGTCTATTGATATAACACGTTCGGACAAGTCTAGAAAATATATACAAACAGGCTTTAACGTTTTTCCATGGGGTAAATAAACATATTCACAAATTTCTCTTGTTAACATATGGCCTTAGTAAAATAATCTTTACAGTGCATTGTGCTTTGTATATTTCTACAAGGATGGCTTTAAAAAAAAATAAAATGGAGGATAAATGTTTTTAAGATATTTTAATTTTCTTTACCACTTGTCTTTCTATTTTCTTTCTACATCTCTTTCTTTAATTAAAAAATAGGTACTGATTCTCCTGTGTATGCTTGTGCAAAATATAGAAAAAAAAAAGAACCCTGATATCATATCGCTTTGTCCAGATCAAAGGTTTAGAAAACCATTGCGTTATTTACAAAGAGTTGTATATTGGACAGGTACAGAAATCATCCATATACAAATAAGATGAATTCTAATCTAGCATATTTATTAAATGTATGCTCTGCACCAGGCTGTGTTCAGGGAGCTTGTGACACAAAAGTATTCAAACATCAACAGCCACTCTTTATAAGGAATTCACAGACTGGTCATATCATGTTAATGTCACAGCTTTCAAGAGCTTGATGACCAAGAAAGTGTTGATGTGCTGTAACCCTACAACCCTTCTGCCTCTGAAGTCTGATTCTAAAGCTGGAGAGGTCAACCTCCAAAGTAAGACTACCTTGTCCTAACTTCACTCGGGTGTACACAGCTCCCAACCCAAACAGGCTAGTTAACACCATGTCAGCAATGTCTGCCATACCCAACAATGAATTGCAAATGAGCCCTATGCCCTGTGCTTTCTATTTTTATGTTACTTTTTGCTGCCTCCCGGCTGGCTAGTTCTTAACCTCTTATTCAAACTATTCCCAGGCTGTCTCTCCAGCCACAGCTGCTCTTGGAATCGTTTCTCATTCCATATGCTGCTGTGGTCACTATCCAGTGCCACGCTGTAAAGTCCATGATAAATGGAGTGGGCAGTGGCTGTAACGGACAGTGGTCTACCTGCAATGAAGTGTTGTCCTCATAAACGCTTACTTCCTTTTAGTTTATGTTATCAAGATGCCTTGTAACTTGGCTTTTCCCTTTGATCCAGAGAGAGAGGTGGGAATACGGGTGAGGTTGCTTATGGCTTCTTTCCCAAATATGGCATCAGACACACTAGTCAATCAGAAGAGAAATGGGCTCTATTTTTTTTAATTAATGAATTAATTTTCACTTAAAAAATGTTATTGAAATATAGTTGATTTACAATGCTTCAGGTGTACAGCAAAGTGATTCAGTTATATATATATGTGTGTATATGTATACATATAATATATACTTTTATATATGTGTATATATATATATTCTTTTTCAGAGTCATGTTGAGGGCTATTGTATAAGACAATTCATCTGGCTCTTCCCTTTGCCTGACACTTCCTATACTTTTAATCACTTATTTAGCTGTAAGACCATTAAGTAAGTCCCCTGCAGTGTCATGGAGAATATCCTCCAACGATGTTAGGAAAAAAAAAAAAAGAAACATAGCGCCATGACTAGTCTCTCTCAAGGCTAGAGAAAAATAAATAAAATGATCCTAACACTGAATTTTGCCACCAGAATACATTTATTTCCTTAAACACTGAGAGACCCACTTCCTGATTAGTGTTTACTTGCCTACTAAGATACCAACATTAAAATATCAGGTAATTGCTAGAAAATATTTCTGAGAATCTACATATGGCATAAAACACAACAACCAACTTGAGATGGTCCAGTAGGCATCATTGCTCCCAGCAAACTGGAAATTATTCTTTGAAAGCAGGTGCATGAGTGTCTGTGAACAAATAGCAAATGGCCAGTTCATTTGCTAAGTGTTTTATATACGTAATTTCATTTAACCGTCACACATACTGTTGAAAATGAAGAAATTTCAGACGTTAAGGAAATTTCCAAAGTTCACACAAGTAGTATATGGTGAGTCAGGACACAGTGTCTCATGGAATTAAGAAATTAGGGGGCTTCCCTGGTGGCGCAGTGGTTGAGAGTCCGCCTGCCGATGCAGGGGACGCGGGTTCGTGCCCCGGTCCGGGAAGATCCCACATGCCGCGGAGCGGCTGGGCCCGTGAGCCATGGCCGCTGAGCCTGCGCGTCCGGAGCCTGTGCTCCGCAACGGGAGAGGCCACAACAGTGAGAGGCCCGCGTACCGCAAAAAAAAAAAAAAGAAATTAGGGATTTGGGGAAAAATGTATTGTGAATGATGCTCTTGGCCATAATAATGAACCTCCATAGTAAGGTCACAAAGAGTAGCGGGCTAAAACCACCCAATTGTTTTTATGGTCAGTTCTATGGGAAGGGACATCCATAAAGATAGGTATAATTAAACTTATTGTGGCCACTTGCTGGAGCCAGAGCGTGATACTGTAGGTATTTATTTCATTTAAATCTAAATAAGGATATCCCCAGTAGTACCCTACTTCTAACAATTTTCCCCTGGATTGACAATGTTTATTTTATGTCTTGATCTGAAAATTTTACATTGCATAGATTATAGTAATCTTAAGCCACCTTCTCTATTTACAGTGAAATTCATAACAAAAGTATAGAATAAACATAACCATGGATCTTCCAATCTCTGTGACAGCTACATCAGCGTCATTCCTAATCCCAGAGGATAATGTACATTTATATCAAGGACACCAAAGATTAGAGACAACAGACTGTCCATGTCCGGGGCTTAGTGAAGTATTAACATCGATATTTCTTAAGGCAAGTCCCTTGCACGAGACAGGCTTAGGGGAATTAGTATCAAAATGCTTAATTTCCGGCACTTCTTACTTTGTTGCATCTTTCAGACCACATAGCTGAACAAAGATCTGCGAATTTTCTCAAGCTTGCGGTTAGTTTGAAAGAAATACAAACAGTTATATGTTTGACATTAAATTTAATATGTAGATCTTGAGTCCACAAAGATAAGAGTACTATTAATTTATAACAAGACATGAATTTTTCACTTACTCTTCATTTGCCAGTAGTAAAGAGGACTTTTTTTTTTAAGTAAAGTAAATATATTTTAAGATTATGCCACAAAAGAATCAACTATTTCATTTAGTTGGCGCTTGGTATCTGGGGGTTCTGCATCTGCGGATTCAACCAACCAAGGATCGAATTTTTTTTTTTTAAATATCCCAGAAACTTCCAAAAAACAAAACCTGAATTTATTGTGGGTAGGCAACTATTTACATAGCATTTACATTGTATTTGCAACTAGTTACATAACGTTTACATTGTATTAAGTATTGTAAGTAATTCAGAGATGATTTAAAGTAAACGGGAGGATGTGTGTAGGTTATATGCAAATACTACATCATTTTATATAAGGGACTTGAGCATTCATAGATTTTGGTAACCACAGGGGTTCTGGAACCAATCTCGCACGAATAAGGATGACTGTACTTTGCGTAGAAATTTCATATAGCAAAGATATTTTCCTTAGTATGGTACATTAAATTACCCATTATATATAACACCTATCCAGTCATTAAAATAAAACTTTATATCATTGATCATGTTAATAGCATATACTCTTGCTAGGATGTGATGAGAATTACCTCTGTGATCTTCCTCCTAAAACTCATAACCCCTGTCTAACCATGAGAAAAGCATAAACAAACCTAAATTTAAGGACATTCTACAAAATTCCTGACCAAGAGTCCTCAAAAATATTAAGGTCATCAAAACAAGAAAAGTTTGAAAAACTGTCACAGTCCGGACAAGTCTAAGGAGACAGGATTACTAAATATAATGTGGTGTCCTGGTTAGGATCCTGGGGCAAAAAAAAAGAACATAAGGAAACTAACACAACATTGTAAATCAACTAAACTGCAATATAAAATAAGAAATTAAATTCAGAAAAAGATGTGGTACGTACACACAATTGTAACAGTCAGATGAAGAAAGACAAATACCATATGATTTCACTCCTAGGTGGAATCTAAAAAACCAGAACAGAGGAACAAACAAAAGAAAACAAAACAAAACTCATAGATACAGAGATTAGATTAGCTGTTACCAGAGGGGAAGGGGGGTGGAGGTGGGCAAAATGGGTAAAAGGGGGTCAACTATATGGTGATGGGTGGTAACTAGACTTATGCTGGTGATCACTCTGTAGTGCATACAGATGTTGAATTGTAATGTTGTTTACCTGAAACTTACATAATTTAAAAAAATAAAAAGAAAAAAAACTTTAGGTATAAACTTATGAAATCAGAATGAAATATGGACTCCAGGTTATAATATATCAATATTTGTTCATTAGCTTTGACAAATACACCATAGTAATGTGAGATGTTAATAATAAGGGAAACTGAGAGCATATACAGGAACACTCTGTTGTGTTTTGTACCTTTTCTGTAGATTTAAAGCTAGACTAAAATTAGAAGTTTATTTATTTTAAGAAAAATAGAATTATAACCAGTCAAAAAATAGTGCATCATTTCAGTTACTTTCTAGAATCATAGTCAAAAGGGATCTTAGTGGTTTCATGGTATAGCTTTCTAGGTTTTTAGATTAGGAAATTTCAGTAAAACTGGGACTTGACATTGCATCTCCCAATTCCAAATCCTTATTGCAATTCCAGATTGTTATTCTATGTTGCAATGACTCATGTATTTGAACTTCCCTCCGTCAACATTTATTGAGTCGCTATTTTGTGCTAGGAGATGGGAAGGATAATAGATGTCCAGTATGTGCTGAGTGGTTCATGAGACATCCCATAATGACTTGGAATAATAATAATAATAAATTTAACAATCCTTCATCAGTTTTG